TATACATACAAACCTTCCTTAAGAATCACTCTATCTATTAAAAAAAACCGCATCAAAATCCGTTGCGTAGTTTTAAAGATCTAAGCATACATAGGGACAGACAGACGGCGGATAGCGACTTTTATACTATGTAGTGATCTAAGCTTATTATTTAACTATTCTAGGTAGTAGGTAGGTTACAATACAATGCCTGTATAGAATTAAATCGGTACCACAGGCTTTGCGGTCGCATGCATTATACTATTAGGATAATACGACAGTTTTCTATGAATGTTGTAAGAAATTGTATATTGTGACATCACGTTTTTTTAGCGTCGTATCATACTTATTTCTTAAAAATTTGCTAGAAAAAACTACAATTAGGTTGATCATAAATGCAATAAATAAAAGTGTGATTATTTTTTAATATTTTATTTTATTGAACAGTCCAAATAATTTATTTTTAGGTAGGGAAGTACCTAATGGGGATCATGACAGGGTATAAAAATTAAAAATATAATTAGTCCATAAGTTAGGTAATTAAAAAATATTAGACACGTATTTTTTTCTTTTGTCGTATAATAAAACAATAATTAGATAAAACGAATCAAAGTTTAGGAGTGGGGGCTAAAACGTCATTTCTTAGTATAAAATGTACTGAGAAGTGACGTCACGCGACATTTCAAATCAATACATCGTCGAAAGTATTCGTTTCTGTAAGAAAATAAAAAATACGTGTCTAATGATTTAAAATAATCTACCAGACGGACATTAAAATAAAAATTAGTCGTCCAGTTCTGGGCCCCTAACAGCCCCCTTCTTGGTCTCTAGCGTCAACTTTGGGAAACACTGCAGTGTAATGTAAAACGAAACGAACACGTTTAAGGCCTCTGTTATAACGTAGGTATATTGTTCTACCGTTACCACACGGCATTGACCCGTTGGGGCACAAATGCACATAATATCGAGCCATAATGTAAGTACCTAAGTACTTAAAAAAAAAACTCGTCCGGTTACAGGAAATCCCCAATCATTTAAATTGGATCCCATTTGTTATCTTGTTAGCATTGCAGCTCGTTTGATTACATTACAATGCAGGCATAGAAATCTTTGTGACAATGATAAGAGATCGCTTGTGCGATTGGTGGCGAGTGTCACAGACCTCCCGTCTAAATAACTTTGCATCCATTGTCGAGGAGAACGTATCAGGTTACCGGGGCTCCAGCTCGACGCACAGGAGAAGGAACGGGGTGGTTTTTAGTCAGTAAGAGTCTGACATTCCCTCCACCCAGGCGGGAACAGTCATTCAATAATTTTCTCCCCTTAAAAAAGCCTTAATTCCCCCTCCCCCCCTTTGAAAGGTGTTCCGGGTGTTCATGGGCGACGCCGATTGCTTACCATCAGGTGATCCGTCTGCTCGTTTACCAACAGAATCCATAAAATAAGAAACACATAAATAAATATTTAGCCTAGGAACATTACCATAATAAGGCTTGAGTATACCATAACACATAAGAAAATTTTAAAATACGCCAAAAATAATTTGCCCGCCTCGGAAAATAATGTCGAACCCAGAAACCCGAGGCACTTAATTAATAACAAAGTTCCAAAAAATATTACCTCAATCAAAAATCAACTTTCCATTGTTTCATTCGAAATAGTAATTATGTATGAAGACACGGCCACACATCAATCTATACAAAACCAGTTTATCCTGGTGTCGCGTCGCATCATCTTTCCGCACATTTAACGTTCAGTTTATACTGACTATGTAAAACTCGATGTGTAGTCGTGTGTACTACAGCAACCTATGTTAAGTTATGTTATCTATAAAAAAAAACAATAGACAAAATCATAGTCGTCTGACGCACGTAGCTAACTAGCTACCTTATTGCCGAAAAATAAAATACAAGGTCATCATAGATGGCTTACTGATAATTGACTATTCACGATCCAGACCTATATTTTAGCATTTAATATCGAAATTAAGTAAGTAACATATTTCTAAAGATACATCGCTTTACATAAGTTACGTATCAGATTCTCAGTTCAAAATAAAACAAGCGCATAAATTATGGCCGCAACGATAAAATACAATGTCATGCCATGATTAAAATTCTTTCAAAATATAACATTGACGATATTCAATTCAGTCTATATTTAGATTAGATGGATTACGCAACATGCGGTGGAAATGCGCGCGTAAAGATCACGCGTCGCAGCTTGTAGTAGCAGTGTGTAGTTCTACTATTGTTTTTAGTTCTGACTTGATTACTGTACTGTTACAGTCGTCAGTGACACAAAAAAGTCAAATAAAATGACAAATTAATGTCATGGATGATGGCATTGACATGTGACATGGCCAATCAGTGTCATCATGGGGCAATATTGAGAAACCTAAATAATAACTATGACATGAATTGCCTGAAATATCTGAAACTGAAAAAGTAGAAATCAATATAGCGACGCGATCAATGAAGTAGTACTTACGTAACATCCGGTGGGGCGTTGGCAAGCGTCATATTGTCGATGGTGACCTTATTTCTTTTATAGGGCCTAAAATAATATTTTGATGCCTAGAACGTGTTTAATTACATTTATTAAGATTTATTGTAATTAATTCTGATTTATATAAATTGCTGTTTTATTACATTTTATTTTTTTCATCTTTCAACATAGCGTCTCATAGACAATGACGACGAAGGCTTTATCAGGTTGTTTATGGCGAATAATTGTAACGGGCAACATTCATATTTAAGAATCGATTCTCAATTTTTGAATCGATATAAATAATGAAATTAAATATAATTCCATGCATTTTGGACTAGTATAATATTAACTGGGTTTCTTAGATTTTTTTGAATGTCATTATTGTTAATTTATCTTCAAAATTTAATAATAAATTTAAATCGTTTAACATAATTTTATGACTAAGGAATCTGATTTCCCTGACTCAAATTTGGAAGAAAAGTATTGTTTCACTTATATAGAAAAATAATTAATTACTTACAGCTGTTTAAAATAACTTATTTCAAAATTTTGTTTCCTCATAGTATATCAGTCATTTGTTTGTCATTTAAGGAACACACCATTTAACTAATTATAGTCATTAGTAACAAATATCATTAAAAAGATGATATAATTTTTACAAATTAACATTAACAAATTACAGATTTACATTCGATTCCAAAATAAAAATCAATTTAAAAATTCCTACTCTATCGATATAAATAATCGAAGCCAACCAGTGTTGCCATTACAGTTTGGCGCCGAATTACATCACCATTTCATGGCACGCGTTTGACGCATTTGTTAAAATTTTCGACTTTTCGTGACAGCACGTCAATTTCGACATTTGATTGATAATTTTCTAAAGATCCATCAAATTAGTTTGTTTGAAAGTTGGTTTGGGCGCTAAATGTTATTATTTCGTTGTTTTAACTTTAATTCTATGATGTGAGTGTGTGGTATCCATTTTTGGTTGCGTGTGTCTTTATCCCATAATGAGCGCTCTCAAGTGTGTGGTTGAAGGGTGCAATTTAGAATATGATGTAGTCTGCAGCTTCTCGTTCTACAAGTAAGTTTATTTGTGTGATTATTACCTTAGAATTAAGTTTTATATTAACCTTTTGTGGTACTAAGCTAGTGTCTATGGTCGATACGTTTGACCTCGAAAAATTCACAAGCATAAAATAATTGTAAACACAATAAGGTTTATATGTGTTTGAGTCAGTATTTTTCCATTGGAAGGTTTTATTTTGGCGGCAAAATCGTTTTTCGTCACATATGCTTTATATTACTTTATGTCCTAGTATTAAAGTTAATCGAAATTGTAATTTTTGTTCATTTTTACTGTGCAGAATGCAATGTATAAACATACATAATTGTTCATTGGTGGGGTTAAATCATGCAAGAAATCGTGTTTTATAAGCAATAGCTACTCACTGCTATATTTCGATTTGTACATAATTTACACTATTACACTTTGATATTCTGGTAGTACAAAATTTCTATCAAAGTGGTATATTTAAAGTAATGGATATAGTGTATAAAGGTTTTGCCTTGTGGTGGAAGTGGTAATTAATGACCAACTGTGATAATCATTAACAAATGCCTATCAACCAGTTTTCTTATCAGTGTTTAGCGACTAGCTCTCTTTCCCTTATTAATTTTACATTTTTTATTACTACATACATAATTTATTATTTTTTTAAGCTGTAAAGTTTGTGTAGGTGATGAAATATGTAATTTAATAACACCAAAAACAAAACATACAAAATTCTAATAAAAAAATTTGCTTATATTTTTCTATGTACATAATCTTATAGGTTATTCCACATAACCTCTTTTTTTAAATGAGTTTTTTTGTTCTAATACAACAATAAATTAATAACAATATTTAATCATCAATGTTAGAGACACTAAAGTAATAAAAAAAAATATAGGAGTATAAATTCATGGTAGGATGTATATGGAACATAATAAGTAACAAAATTCAGTGAAGGCTATTATTAGGTTTATTAGCTCTTCTACTACATGGTACATATAACATAACTGGATACTCTGGCTGATAATAATTAAACTCAAAATCATTATTTTGAAATTACAAACAAAACAGTAATGAAGCATAGGGGGTTACCGGGGCTCCAGCTCAAAGTAGGAGTGGGAATGTGGTGGTGCTAAGCATCTGATGCTCCCTAATGCCTCACCCAAGGCTGGAGAAGTCATTAGATGAAACCCCACCTTAAAAAATGACATATTTGTCTTTCTGTGCTTATCCCTGTTGTCATCATGAAAATGAAAATGAAAAAATTTATTTGTAAACATAGGTTCATGGTATAATATTGTCCATCTATGTTTTGTGATTTATCACATACAAATTTTGGTAAAAATTCAGTTTGATTAATTAATAATGTCAATAATATTAATTTCATACACATTAATTATTACAATAGTCACACATGTATATAAAAAATATAGACAATGTCATTGCCATAACAATTATGTTTTCGCTTAATCTCTGTCTGTAACCCATCACACATAGTGAAGTGATAACATTCTATAGCTCTGGCTGCTAGCAGTCTGATTCTCTGTTTGTTCATACCATACTTACCATATTTTCCTTTCTATTTCTACACGTCTATTTTATAGAAGTTGTTTAGTCGGTCTGTAATTCTCAGTAGTAGCACAGAGTCTGGAATTGTGCCCGGTATATGACAATAGGTTCACCCCCTATTACATGGAACTCATAACATAAATAGTGATAAGTGGGTGTTACATTGTACAGTGGCATTAAGTGCCGCAATGTGCAAGTCAAAATCATTTATTTCAATTACACCAGGAAGGCACTTTTGAACGTCAACAACAAAAATTTTGAAGTGGAGCTAGTTGCTCATTCCGATGTGTAGAATCCTATAGAGAAGAACGAGCAAGAAACTCCATAGGTTACTCTTTTTCAAATCAGGTTTACAATACAATTCTCTAGTTACAGTTACTCTCTAGTTAGTTTTGTTGGTTCAATTGTTTGAGAAGTTTTTATAGGAGTTATATAGTCAGTCTGCCTACCGTATTGTAACTTATCAGTAGTAGCACAGAGTCTGGGATTGTGCCCGGTATATGGCAATAGGGTCACCCCCTATTACATGGATCTCATATTATAAATAGTGAAAAGTGGATTTTACATTGTAAAGTTGCTTTAAGTGCCATAATGTGCACCTGTGTCTATCCCTTTGAGAGTAAAAGGGGTGATGATATATTAGAAACTATTTGAAAGCCACCATTACTAAGATAAAAAGACATGGAGTGATAGTGTAATCTATCACAGAAATATATATATTAGTTATATGTATAAATTATGATATGTACCGTGAACAATATACTGATTATGTTTTTATTATTATGTGAGAGCGAGTGATGTTTTGTATTCATTAATTTTTGTTTAGTTATTTATTGTAGTGTTACTTATGAGACTTAGTTCTATTTGTATTTATGGTTCATTGTGTTAAGTATGTTGTTTTATTAATAATAGGGTAGTTTCCAGGGTAAGAAAATTAAAAATCTAATTAGTCTGTCAGTTAGATAATGAAAAAATATTAGACACATATTTCTTTATTTTCTCGTATAAAGTTACAATACTTAAATAAAATGGCGTTGAGTTTAGGAGTGAGAGGTCGTTACGTCACAACGTGGTACATTTTGTAGCTCACTGTGACGTCACGAGACTTTTCATATCAATATATCGTCAAAAGTATTTAATTTTGTTATAAATGAAAAATACATGTCTAATGTTTTAAATTAATCTAACAGACGGACATTAAAATAAAATTTAGGAAACTACCCTAGTAGCTTCTGAAAGTTTGGTTTGCCTACGTTCCCGTGTCGATAAAAAGTAGCCTACCTTATACAGACCATTATTATTATATAGGGTAAACCGTATAGCTATTGCCCACTTAACGACTTCAAACAGGTTAACTTAAAAAAAAAAAACCGTATTAGAGCTGGCAAATTTTTATTACAATTTTCTTATAAACTACAAAATTCTGTAACAGATAATCGAAATTATTTAGTTAAAAAGTTAACATATCTTAGAAATAATATGAAGAAAAAAAAATTATCAAAAAATACAGTCATTGCCCACGCAATATAGTAATTACCATCATAAGAGCACAGTAATTGCCCATGATCTCAAAATGCTAGATTAAGGCCTAAATTGACTTTAAACATAAATAATTATTCGAAACTAAAAAAATTAAACTTAATTTTATAAAAAAACACAGTTTAAAGAAACAAAACTATAAATTTTTAACAAAACTCTTAACTTTCTTAGGATAATTTTCAGTCTCAAAATAGATTACGCTTAGCTTTATTAATCACACCAAATAATTCTCTTGCTGACAATGATGAGTCAGAATCACCTGAGTCAGAATCTTTTACAATAAAACAACGATGGCACAAAAATAACCTTAAGTCGGCGTCGTCGGGGATATGTTCTTTATGTTTTTGAGGAATACAACGCATGTGATAGGTTTTTGAACAAGCACTGCAGGTCAACGGATTTTTCATTATGCTGAAATGACAAACTACACAAATAGTAGGCTTGATTATAATGTCGCTTAAAATAGTTATCTTTCCACCTGTTGCTACCTGTTTATTTTCCTTATGGCTTATATTTAATTCTTTCGTCTTTGGTGTACATTGGAGATGGTACTTAAAAGTTTCAGTCTCGTTGTCGTTATTTCCCTTGATTGTATCAATTTCCTCTGAATCAACTTCACTATTGATATTTACTGCAGAATTTTCATTGTTAGGTTTCTTGGTTATTTTTATGGTGTTCTTACTTTTTTCAGCTTTTTTCTTGTCTCTAATCAACTTCTTTTCTTCCTTGATTTTTAATAAATTTTGCTTTTCTACTACTTTTACATGTAAAGCTTCTTTAAAATTTTGAGAACTTATAACGTATGGTTGTCTTTCTGTTTGTCTTTTTCCTTTCCTTATGGGCGTTTCCGGGTAAGCTAGATACTCTCCCAGTGAATATTTTCTTTTTATAATTTTAGGACTTGGTAACTGTGGCGTAGAGTTTGCCGCCGCTACTGCAAATGAAGTACTTGCTCGTGGCTCTTCAGAAGATATTTCTGGGGTATATTGTTTTTGTAGAGTTGTGGAAGCTGTTGTAGGTTTATATTTGGTATACTCAGGCACTGAGGAGAAAAGATCACACGTTGAAAGACTTTCTATTCCCTCAGATGTTTCTTCTGTAAGTGAGTGTAAATCGACAATGTTTTCAATTGAATCTTCATTGTTTTCTTGTGTGATAACTGAGCAATCTACTACTTCGTTAGTATTAGATTCAATTTCAGCATGCTTAAATGATTCCCATAACTTAAATAACATATCCAAGTGTTCAGTAACTTTTTGATGCGGCAGTTTGTGACGTCTATTTTCGAAATCCTTAACAATAGATGGTCCAACGATCTTTGAAAAAGTAGAATAGGTTATCGTTGCTAAATCTGGAATAGGTTTTGTATTTTGTACAGACAACTTATTGCTTGCAGCACCAAGGCATTTTCCATAGTCAATGGCATCCGGATTAAATGGACATAGACCACACGCTTTAAAGCCATTAACTAATATGTCAGGTCTTAGACTCGTCATAACGGCATCATTAAGTACAGGTGCAAAATTTAATTTTGTGAGACTTTGATTATTGTGTTCATTTTGCCATTTCCTTAAAGATTTTCTCCATCCTACTTTGAGAGGTCTAAAAGCAGCTACATCGGCTGGCTGAAGGATTCTTGTTGCGTTTGGGTAGAGTGCAATTAATTCGATCTGAAGATGAGTACAAAGCTGGCTTAAATGGAAATTTAAATGAGTCTTATGACCGTCTACATAGAGAATGACTGGGAATTCGACGTTTTTGCTGACGAGATATGGATAAAATACATTAGCAATGTATTCATAGAAAACTTCCGTTGTCATCCATCCTGTGTCAGACTTGCCAAGCCCCCATCCATCAGGTACAGAATCAGCAATTTTTTCAGGTAACCTTTGATAAGGATAAACAATGAATGGACAACAGATATCCCCTGCAGCCGAAAAAGTGAACAAAACTGTAATAGACTCTTTAGCTTGAGATTGTTCAACATTATAGACATTTTTTGAACCTTTTTCTGCTAATACTTGACCAGTTTTAACGCAAATTTGAAAATTTGTCTCATCTGCATTAAATACTCGATGTGGGTCATTTAAAACAGAAGCCAAGTCTTTTTCAGTAGCATAATTTTGGATTTCAGTAAACCACCCTCTTATATCTTTTTCCGAAACACATGCACTGGCCTTTGTCACACCTTCTGAAGTTCTGGTTGCCAATCTAGGATGTCGTTTTAAAAAGGCCTTCCACCAACCGTCACCTGGCCTATTATTCAAAAATGAGTTTGGACGCGGGTTTTCTATTAGAAACTTTTGGACGGTATCTAATATGTCCTCTTTGTTACGCGGAAATCCCTTTCTTGCTGAAATGATTATCCAGTCTTCTAAACTATTTTCTTCTGAAATAGTTAGTACAGGTGATGGCCCTAAGCTGGTTTTGTGGCCCGGATGTTTAATATAGTACCGAAGACTGGACCTCGGAACGCCGTATTTTTCGGCGATTTGCCTCGTAGATAGCTTATTGTTAACATCTTGAACTGTATCAATTGCTTTTTGTAAATTTTCTTTACTATACTGAATTTTGGGTGTCTTTGGCATTCTGAAAGTAATGAAATATAATTAGCACCTGTTTATGTAAAGAAATTGCGAAATGTAACACTATTCATGTCATATTGGCAATACTACTTAACTCAAAATATAAGTATGACATTAATTGCCCGGGCAATAACTATAAATATTAACCTATGGCAATTACTAAAAAAATGATGGGCAATAACTGAAAACAATAAAAAATCGATACAGTGATTGCCCACCTCTAAAATAACCGTTAGAATTCAATATTCAAATTAGATTTACATTCAATACTAAAGTTAATCACAATTTTATCGTAATTATGTAAGAACAGTCGAATAGGTACCATTCAAATGTCCTAAAAAATGTTTTTTAGCAAGTAATTCCTTAAGAAAATTGATAAAATGCTTACCTGATTGAGTAACACGTTCACTTGTTTTTACAAATCCGCCATTACTGACTTTTTTTCTTCCAGTGTTGCAATAGTTTGATTTAAAATCTACCATAAATTAATAACAGTGCCCTCTAGTGAACACTTCTCAAAATAAAAAGTCAATAATTGTCTTTTTATTTTTAAAAAATATAAAAATGGGCAATAACTGTCGGTGGGCAATAACACTCCTGTTTACCCTATATATATATTTTTTTTTTATGTGGGGAAAATCATCGAATCACTGCTCCCGCCTGGGTGAGGCGGGAGGGAGTGTCAGACTCTTACTGACTAAAAACCACCCCGTTCCTTCTCCTGCACGTCGAGCCAGAGCCCCGGTTACCCGTTAGGTTTTCCGCGACTCCGAATCGGCATCAGCCCTGTTGGGCCCCATCCATGGTGGTCTGATGGCTCCTTGAGGCCTTATACCTTATACAGACCATAATCTACCCCTGTTCCTATCTAAATTTAATCCCCATCCCTTCATCAATTGTTTTTTTTTAAAGAATGTTCCCCATACTAGGACTTTCTCCTGTGTCTTGGGTGCATTTACAAACATACAATTTCACTTACACATGACACCTAGACCCCATTAGGAGGGAGCAGTCATTCGATGATTTTCCCTCCTTAAAAAAAAGACCCCAAACAACGATCAGTGGAACATACGAAAAGTTGTTTCGTGCGGGAATCGAAACCGCGATACATAAATCGTCTCATTTATAATATCAGTAAGATTTATTGCTTAATTCACCCCCTACTACATGGGACTTAAACATAAATAGTGAAAAGAGGCGCTGTGGGCTGGATCGCTTCGTTACCTACGAAATGGTTGATCTGACCGATTGCTGGCCCACACGTCATGCTCGTAAACGGTCGCCTTCTGCTGGAGCAGGTGGCTTACTCTTGAATCCAATTCCGATCTATCGGCATTGGTATTGTGAAATTTTGTACTCTTGAGTTGCAACACTAGCGCCCATTGCATCCGTATTGCGTGGATATTGAATGAACTAAATGGTATTGAGTTTGGCTTTATATTTCGTACTCTGATTACTATTTAAACAGCTACGGTAGGGGTTGTATAGTTTTGACAATCGATAATTATTGAGATTTTATTGGATTGAAATTGCATTGACATTGAGATTGGTTTTAAGAGTAAGCACTCTGGTCGGCTCGCTCATCGCGCGGATAGGCCGATCCAGTAGGGTTAATGTAAATGTAATGAAACATGTATTGTGTATATGTAAATTAAATAGTAGACACAAACTTCTTTGTGTAAAAAAGATGTGGTTAATGTAGCACGTACCTAAGATTTTTGTTACAATTAATTTTGACAATAAAATAAAAAAAAATGTAATTAAATGACAAGGGCACGGACTAAAGTCCGTGGAGAATAAGAAATCCTCACTAATATTATAAATTGGAAAGTGAGTTTGTTTGTTTGTTCCGCTTTCACGCCGTAACTACTAAACCGACTGCTTTGAATTTTTGCAGACGTAAAGTTAGAAGTCTGGATTAAATAATAGGGTACTTGTTATCCCGCTAAAATTGGATATTCCCGAGGGAAAAGAGCGAATCCGCGGGTAAAAGCTAGTCTAATATAAAAAAAAGATTGTGAACACTGGGTGTTACATTTTACAGTGGCATTCAGTGCTGTAATATGCACCTCTGCCTACCTTTTCAGGGATAAAAGATGTGATATTATGATGATGGCATTAATTGTTGTAATGTGCACCTCTGCCTACCCCTTCGGGGATAAAAGACGTGATGTTATGATGATGGCATTAAGTGTTGTAAAGTGCACCTCTGCCTACCACTTCGGGGATAAAAGGCGAGATGTTATGAAGATAATCATGATTTATTGTTTAATTCTTGTTCCCAGTGCCAATATATCGACGGACAATGAAGCCAAACGGCAGGACTGGATCGAAGGTGCTATGCACGAGGAGAGTGAATGCCTCTGGCGACATGTCAGCTTGCAACTATGCGGGTAAGTTTCACAACAATATTCATTACTTTTTTTAAATCTTGCAAATTACACACGGCCACACATCAATCTATACAAAACCAGTTTATAATATCCTGCGCCTTCAGCCAAACACCACTTTAGCGCTTGCCTACAGAGAGAGAATAAATCAAAATATATGGGGATGACACTGACAAGTGTCAAAATGTACGTCAATTCCATATAATTTGGTTTTCTATTCTACATGTAGACAAGCGCTAAGTGGCATTTGGCTACAGCTGCTGGTGTCGCGTCGCATCATCTTTCCGCACATTTATTGTTCAGTTTATACTGGCTATGTAAAGCTCCATGTTATTGTGTAGCCGTATGTACATAATATGTGTGAGTTCGAAACCTATCCGCAAGTACCAATGTGACTTTTTCCGAGTTATATGTACTTTCTAATATTATTTAGACACCACTGACAAACGGTGAAGGAAAACATCGTGAGGAAACCTGGACTTACAATAGGGTAGATGCCTAAATTTTATTTTAATGTCCGTCTGGTAGATTATTTTAAAACATTAGGCACGTACTTTTTATTTACTTACTGAAACGAATACTTTCGACGATATATTGATTTGACATGTCGCGTGACGTCACTTCTATGTAGGTACATTTTATACGTAGAAATGACGTTTTAGCCCCCACTCCTAAACTTTGATTCGTTATAACTAAGTATTGTTTTATTATATGACAAAATAAAAAATACGTGTCTAATATTTTTTATTACCAAACTTACGGACTAATTATATTTATAATTTTCATACTCTGTCATCATCCCAATTTCTAATTATAAATCGCAATTTGAAATCGCAAACCCGCATTGAACAAGCCCGAATTAATGCTCAAACCTTCTTCCTTCTTCACTCTGCTCAGCAGTAGTATTGTAATCATCAATTGTATGAAATAAATTATCTCAATTAAATATTACTTATAAAAACTATGTTTTTCTTCACCGTTTGTCTTAGAAAGTACATATATCTAGAAATTGACCACATTGGTACTTTTTTTTATGGCATAAGCCGGTAAACGAGCAGACGGATCACCTGATGGTAAGCAATCGGCGTCGTCCATGGACACCTGAAACACTAGAGGCGTTACAAGTACGTTACCGGCCTTTTGGGATTAGGAATTAGAGGATTGTTGGGGATTTAGGGATTGGGGAAAAGGGGGGGAGGGGTAATTGGGCCTCCGGTAACCGCACTTACACGACGAAATACAACGCATGCGTTGTTTCACGTTGGTCTTCTGCTTGGCCGTGGTATCACTCAGGTCCAACCGGCCCATTCGTGCCGAAGCATGGCTCTCCCACACTTCCAGGTTCGATTCACTCCACCTGCTATTCTATAATTTATTTTTCATTAAACCTGATAGGAACCCAATCTTAAGTGGCTAATTCTAAACCTTACTACTTTCTAAATAGGTATCATTTCGAGCTGGACAACCAGGGCCTTTGGATCGACTCTCCAATGCTACCGGAGCTGCTGACCCACCAAGAGAAGACCGCTCCAGTGATACAGTCGCCAAATGATAAGAAACGTAAGTGTTAACATTTTATTTTTTATAGTCGAGAATTTGACGCTCTTACTCAAAACTGCGATGCGATTCCGTGCGACAAGGCGTCTCCCAGGGTGACCATTCCTTCGACGACCGTCAACCGTACTAAACGAATTTTAAATTGAATACTAGGTCGTGACATGGACCGTAAAGTGTGCACTTCTTTTATTGCTTAGGAGATACAGGAAAAAGAAATAAATATTTTGGGAAGATAAGATCTTGATACGCGATGCGAATCAATTCAGAAGTTCTTGCGATGCGTAGAGGGAGCTCGCACATTTTTGCAATGCGGCGTCGCATCGCAGTTTTGTGTATGAGCCCTGAGACCTCTAGCAAGATTCGTTAAGGAAAAGTTTAATTTGAATTCAATAAATTGATAAAATATTTTTTTTTTATAATGCACGGAGTGTCAGCTTATCCATTTGGCAATTGAAAGGCGGGATGCCTCTACTACTCATAACCTTGGGAGCAAGAAAATGAAGCCATTAGCGTTTTTTGTTTTCATTTCATTGATTCCTCTATAACTTTTATAAAAAATCTCCTTTTATTTATTTATTAAAGTTTCGTGCACAAAGTGTACATAAGTGGATTTAATTTCTATTAGAAAAAATCTCCCAGTCTGACCTTTGGGTGATGCAGAGATGAGTTATTGGTAGGAGCAAGAAGCAAGCAACGATTTAAACGAGCTAATAGAAGATTATACTAACACATTTCAGAGATAAACATAAATAAAATAAATATATTATTAATATATATATACCTACACACGAGTACAATACAATATACCTACATATTATTAATACACTGTGAATAATTAGCGTGATGATTCAGCCAACCTCTTGAAGAGAAGCTCACATTCTTTTTTCTCCTTTATTGTTGGCGTTGCAAGTGCGTTACTAGCCTTTTGGGATTAGGATATTTGAGGACTGTTGGGAGTTCAGGGATTGGGGTTACTCACTCACACGACGAAACACAACGCAAGCCTTTTTTCACGCCGTTCTTCTGTTTGGCCGTGGTATCACTCCGGTCGAGCCGGCCCATTCGTGCCGAAGCATGGCTCTCCCACACTGAAAAACTGTTCTCGAGATTTGTGCTTAGGAACACATTCACCAATTCATTTTTATATTATCTTATAGATAAATTTTTTAAGGGGGGAAAATCATCCAATGACTTCTCCCGCCAGGGTGAGGCGGAAGGGAGTGTCTCTTACTGACTAAACACCACCCCATTCCTACTCCTGCACTTCGAACCGGAGCCCCGGTAATCCGTTAAGTTCTCCGCGGCTCCGTATCGGCATCTTATAGATAGATTAGAAGTCTTTAGATAGTCCAAAAACGCAGAAACAACTATAGTATTCCATTTCTGCTCTATTGCAGACGCTGTCAAAGGCCCAAGCTATCAAAATCTATTCGAAAGATTCGTTGGGGAACATCGCAGAGGTATTAGACAATATATTCATAATCTGCTCTGCTCCTAGCGTGACGATATATACTTTACAACAGCCTATAAATGCCAACTGCTGAGCAAAGCATCTTCTCACACGGAGAAGGTTTGAGCATTATTCACCACGTTTGCTCAATGCGGGTTGGCGATTTCAAACTTATAATTAGAAATTATAAGCCGAGGTTTCCTCGCGATGTTTTCCTTTACCGTTTGTCAGTGGTGTGTGGAGTCTAAGTAATCTTAGAAAGTACATATAACTCGGAAAAAGTCACATAGGTACTTGCTGTTGGTGACGATATATAGTGTAGTATAGTATCTTATATATAATCTGCCCTTACTTAATGATTGACTGACAACGCTCAGCCTAATTACTGACCCTAGGAAACAAATTTAGCATGTATGGGCAGTGTAGGGGAGGACTAAGAGAGGATTTCTAGTGCATTAGAACCTAATCCAACCCCTTATTTATACTATTAGGTGTCACTTATAGATGAGAGACAACTTGAACGTCGTTCCATGTCACTTAGCTTAAGCGTTCCTTAAAATTTAGCGGTGTAAATGGTATAAAAGTTATATATAACTATATATAACATCACGCCTTTTATCCCCGAAGAGGTAGGCAGACGTGTACATTACGGCACTTAATGCCACTGTAACACCCACTTTTCACTATTTATGTTATGAGTCCCATGTAATGTAGGGGCTATTGCCATATACCGAGCACAATGCTAGACTCCGTGCTACTATGAACATTTTTTTTTAAATTATTAACCCATCCGGGCATCGACCCCGACACCCCTTGCCGGCAGTCACTTGCGACCACTCGGTCACCGAGGCAGTATACAAATAATTTATTAATTATTAAGTCTAACTACAGTTATATTACTAAATATTGTTTGTATGTTTGTCCACAGTGGCTGAAATTATCCGTATGGAACACAATTATAGCGTGGAGCCCGTCAAAGAAGATCCCGAGAGTGTCTCCAGACTGAATGTCAGACAATTGGTTGATACATTGGGTTATCTGTGAGTATTTACTATTTTTAAGTATTATTACAGCCGTATTTATAACCGGTAAACAAGCAGACGGGTCACCTGATGGTAAGCACTCGGCGTCGCCCATGGACACCCGGAACACTAGAGGCGTTACAAGTGCGTTACCGCATTACACAGTAATTGGGATGGTGACAGGGTATGAAAATTAAAAACCCAATTAGTCCGTCAGTAAGGTAATGAAAAATATTAGACACGTATTTTTTTTTATTTTGTCATATATTAAAATGATACTAAGATAAAACGAATCAAAGTTTAGGAGTGGGGGTTAAATCGCCATTTCTACGAATAAAATGTATATAGAAGTGACGTCACGCGACATTTCAAATGAATATAACGTTGAAAGTATTCGTTTCTGTAAGAAAATAAAAAAATACGTGTCTAATGATTTAAAGTAATCTACCAGACGGACATTAAAATAAAAATTTGGCATCTACCCTATTGTTTGCATTTGTCCTTTGATTTGTATGTTTGACTTTCCAAAGTCACTTATTCTCATTGCAATAAATAATCGAAAGAAATACTTATTTTGTTTTTGCCCTATAAATCCAGGTCACTGAAGAACTTGCAGCGCAAACAGCTGTGGGTCGTGAAGGTGGAGACTGACAAGGCAGAGGCTTCCATCACGCAGTCAGAACAGGTCATCACCAAGATGCCTGACCCGAGGCAGATTATTGAGGTATACACTCCTTCTATATGTCACCTAAGTCAGCCCATACCCTGTCTGTATGTCGCGGAGAACCTAACGGGTAACCGGGGCTCCGGCTCGACGTGCAGGAGAAGGAACGGGGTGGTTTTTAGTCAATAAGAGTCTGACACTCCCTCCCGCCTCACCCAGGCGGGAGCAGTCATTCGATGATTTTCCCCCCTTAAAAAAAACCCTGCCTGTATACTAAACTTCATCAAAATCCGTCCAGCCCTTTTAGCGTGAGTGACGAACAAACATCATCAACAAAGAAACTTTAACATATATAATATCAGTTTGATAAAAATGAATTACTTTCCTTCACAGATAATCCCTCAATCATCAACGTCAACCGCAGCAGAACCGGAGGCCCAGAACTCAGAAGTTTTACAAATTATGGATGACACTACCATATCGGACAACTTCATATACGAAATAGCTGAGGAACAGGAAATCACCATGGAAGAGGTTAAAGAAATACCAGCTACATCATCTGAAAACCCTGAATGGACTGTCAACATACTCCCCGATGATACCAAACCAAAATATGCTTATATTAAACACTGCTCTTCGGGCAAGAAGAAACGTCACTTCACAGCTGACATGAACGAAATTACCCTACAAGGCGATTTTGAAAATTATTACATACTCCCCGACGTCGATCCGTCTGTAGGAGTCGAGATAACAACGAGTTATGAACCTGAAAACTATATAGTCGAGGAGTACCAACACCTAGTCCTCGACGAGAGACCGAAGAAGCGTGCCAGCAAAGATGATTCTGGGAGAAAAAAGAAGAAGAGGCTCTCAAATCCTCCCGTGAAAGAGGAACCGACTGATTGGGTGATTGAGAACAACATAGTATATGAACAAGATGAGGATTTCGATGATCCGAAGAAAGTGGCTTCGCGTGTAAGAAGAAAAAATAAAAAGTACCTCGGGTATGATTTTGTTACTTAATTGTCTTGTTTTAACTTGGCATTTGACTTTGAATATTTAATTTAGATTTTGTGACTGGTCAGGCTTAATTTTAGACCTAATTTTAAAGATTTTCTAACTAAATTAGTCAATAATGGGGTCCTACCGTCTTGTCTGGCGTCTGCTCACCTGAATACGCCGTGAAATCTATTTCGTTTCCGTCCCGCGGCCAAACAACTCGCCATAAGGAGTACTTTCGATGTATAAAGTAAAAACAAAACAATAAAGATGAAGAAATGTTCGTGGAAATACGCACATGAAACACTAGACGTAAACTTGTAGGCACTATTCGCATCGCACGTGTCACTCGACGAGAAATACCTCTTCGAGAATCACATGGCGTGATGTTTTGATAATGTACTGTAATGAGTTCGTATGCGCTTTCGAAGTTTGCTTTTAGCAATGGTTCACCAGTTATTATTTGTTTTAAACATTTTATTTCTTTGTAAAACTATTGTATTACCGAGATAAAACCATTTTACTATGGGACGAAAACGAAATAGATTTCATGGTGTATTCTGGCTATTCAGTAACTTCTGAAGTGATCCCGATCGCGGTTCGCCATGCCATGTAGAGAGAATAATAACGACCTATGATGGAGGAGAATACAATCGAGCACATTTCAGAAGTTTGATTTAGCAGTTACAGAATAACTATCGTGTTACATATTAAATTAACTAAAAATCGCGGGTTACTCACGTGAATATACTGAGAAAAGCTCTACTAGTTTCGAACCACAGAGGGGTTTTTCCTCTTGAGCAGCGTGCGCGGTCGCGGCGATGTCTACAGCCGGCAGACTAGCGTTGGCGCTCGCATCGGTATTGCTACTGGCGCACCTAGACCACCGCGCCCTCTGCCGAACACCACGAGCGTTTGTAATACTATAGCTTTTCTCAGTATATTCACGTGAGTAACCCGCGATTTTTAGTTAAGTTGCTGAATAGCCAATAGGTTGTTTTGTTTGCTGTCAAATATTGTACGTCCAAAATTTTGACAGTAACTGTTCCCTATTGGACGGAGAACGAGAGGCGCACACTAACGCCATCTATTGAGAATTTGTGACAGTCGCTGTTCGCTATTAGACGAAGAATGAGAGGCGCATACTAACGCCATCTATTGAGCAAATACATTAGCCCCCTTCATACAGTTGTTCAGAAGTTTTGACTAAAATAACCAGTGATTACTGCTAGACTACTAGCCTTCTCTACATAAGAGGGTTTGTCATAATCTCCGCTGCCAGGCTTGGAGATCGCAGTATAACAGGTTCAGGTTTATCAGAGACCGCTGATGCCCGGTCTCTGTCTAATGTGTAGTCCCTAGTCGGATATTACGATATAAGCACTATACATCTAGCTTCACTGACAGTCAATTCTATTTTTATATATCAACTAGCGGACTCGACAGACGTTGTCCTGCATATTATATAATTATAGGTATAGATAAATAACCTAGATACCGACTGCAGCGCCATCTGCCGGGCTGATTTGTGAATCTAAACCATCCAGGGCGTCTATCATATAGAAAAATTCATTTAAATCGGCCAAGCCGTTTAGGAGGAGTTCAATGACGTTCACACGTACAGCAGAATTATATATAATTATAAAGATAGTGCTTATGTAATAGTTAATTAAAATGAATGCAGTTGTCTTTAAATTTTTGCATCTAAAATTAAGTTGGACTAGTCAAATTACTATAGGATGTCATTAAAATATGACTAAACATGATTTTAATTGTGATTCTGTCATCTGAACTAAGTGCAAATGTTTTAAGTACGATTCTCGTGTAAAAATGATGAGATTTCATTTTTATTAATATCATGCAGTCTGAAATCGTGACCTTTTACAAGGACGAATTGAGAATGCATTTTGCTAAACAAAAATGGACTTTGTAAAGCGAATACTAGAAAAAGCTTAAGACGGGAACTTAACCAGTTTTCAATGCAATATCTCAGGTTCGATACCTATCTTAGTGATTCCTTATTCTTGTTATCTAAATAAAATGTATCATGTATTAAAATCATGTTCGGTTCAAATCGTTATATTCACGTAATAATCTTGATAAACGAAAAAAAAACCATGAAATCATTTTTGCGAACTTAATAACGATCTCATTTTGCAAAATATTGACACATAAATAAATATCAATTATAGTTAGATAAGTTAATTTGTTGTTAACTTATAAATCCAATAACGAAAACCCACAACATTTTTGTTCATACAAAAGTAGTCTCTAAACATCGGGAATAAGGTCTATAATGGTGTTAGTAGAGAGCGGTCACTGGTGATCGTTTGGGGACTAGCAGTCATCATCATTAACAGCCTATAAGAGCCCACTGCTGATCAAAGCCTCTTCTCACACGGTTTGAGCATTAACCACCACGCTTGCTCAATGCGGGTGTGCGATTTTAAACTTATAATTAGAAATTTTAAGCTCAGGTTTCCTCACGATGTTTTCCTTCACCGTTTGTCAGTGGTGTCTAAACAATCTTAGAAAGTACATATAACTAGGAAAAAGACACATTAGTACTTGCCGTTGGTAGGTTTCGAGCCCGCACTCATGCATGAGAAGCAGTCGTCTTAACCACCGGGGGAGTAAATTAATATTGTTATGACAATAGACTCACCCCCTATTATATGGGACTCATAACATAAATAACGAAAATTGAGTTTACATTGTAAACAGTATGATACTTTACGTAATATTCATAAAGTTAACAAGAAAGAAAAATCATGATAATCATGAATTTTATCGATGACATCTCTTTGAGAATCCCGTTTGACTCCGAAATTGAACGGTCGTGCTCGAAAATCGTAATCATACGATGTTGTTCATTAGTTTAAGTTGCAAGTAATATAATATTATTCTTTTTGGGTTTAATGAGCTCCATTCTACTAGCTCAAGCGTCTATAATGGAGGTGATTGTGGAAAAAAAATAGATTATATTGTATGGTCATCAAGATTAAGAGTGTGTACCAAATATCAGATCGATCTGTCGTCAAGAAGGGGGGAAAATTCCTATTACTATTGACCCAAACACCATTTAAAAATAGTTAATCTATAGTTTCAAAGTATAACCATTAAGCTTGCTGCGTTCAGTAGTCACAGCTGTGTACAGTCTCTATCAGACACCGATAACTAAAGATATTTTATATTAAATGTTAAATAAAAATTAGTTCGAAATGTACTATAGTCTATATAGTCGTAGATTTTATAATACAGAATATAATTATAAGGTTTCCAGTTATCCTATAATCAAATTTAAGAATTCTTCCTTTAAAATAACATTGAAAAAATATTTTAACCCTAATTTCTAACTGTTTGACTAAGAACTCGACTAGTTTCAAGTCAAAAGCATAGTAATTAACTTAAAAATAGGCTGGCAATGCACTTGTGTTCCGGGTGTACATGGGCGGCGCCGATTCTTTACCTACCATCAGGTAATCCGTTCAATTGCCACTAAAAATATAGTTTTTCAATGTAATTTCTAAAAGAAGTCTTTCTATAACATTCAAAGTCAAATGCCTTGATTTTAGCGTTAAGATTTTGTTTATATTTTATTCATATTATTACTACCTATATTAAATAGATAGCTTTGTTTTTGGTTCACATTATAGCTAAAAATGATATTTGAAAGTGATTTTTCTGAAAATCTGGAGCCTTAAATGGCTGGTAACGTACTTGTAATTCTCAGGCGCCGATGACCTACCATTAGGTGATCCGTCGTCAACGAAAATGGCGTTAATGTAGCATGAGAGTCATATTTGTCCAATCTTTGTAGCTGTTAATAAATATCAGTCCAATAGTTATAATACTAGGTTTATTTTGAAAGGGAAAACTCATCGAATGACTTCTCCCGCCCGGGTGAGGTGAGAAGGAGTGTCAGACTCTTACTGACTAAACACCACCCGTGCATAGAGCCCGGTAATCCGATAGGTCGTCCGCAGCTCCGTGTTTAATTCAAGCTAATTGTCTTTTGGACAAAATAGACCTCAAGCTTCGATAGACCACAAAAGAAGGATCACATGATTTTTTGGAAATTTCACAATCAAATATTGATTTTAAGTTAAGGCGTTCCCACACAACAGTTATATAACTGTATACCACATTGTAACATACTCTACACTATGTTAAGTTATTACTACAACTTTTAGTTAAAAATCGCGGGTTATTTACGTGAAAGTACTGAGAAAAGCTCTACTAGTTTCGAGCGCAACCTACTGTTGTCTGCGGGACACCGCCCCGACACGCTGCTCATGAAGAAGAGTCCTAGACGTCACGTGAGTAACCCACGATTTTTAGTTAATTTTGAATGTCTCACGATAGTTATTATAAAAACTAAAACTTGTTAGAATTGTTAGAAATGCTAAGTCGATCTCTAACGATATGTACCTGCTGTGTGGGAGCACCTTTAGATGCCTAACTATACATAATATGTATATTATATATAATTTTGTGATGAATAATAAAGTACCTAGTAAATTTAAAGAAGAAAAAAATAACAAAAAAATCACATTATATTCATTTCATGTATATTTGTTTGAATTTATTGTTGGTTGGGTTAAAAAAATATTTGTTTTTTAATTCTATCTGTCTATAGTTTCTAAGATTTAAAATTTTAATTAAAATGATGTCTATTATGTGAGACTCGATAACATTAAAGACGTGGTTAATTAGAATATACGGTTTCTTCACGTAATTGTTCGGGCGTGCTCAACTGATTTCGAGCGACGAGCAGGACTCATAATCATGAGAATTTTGCGCGGCGATCGTTACGTCAGTAAACCAAATGTAAACAATTTAGGCCGTTTTCACAATGTCTGGATAGCCACTATGTGTCAGTAAAACATGATTTAAATGAACTATCTGCCACATAAAGCCGAGGATACATTAGGAGACAAGGAATCCACGACATGTCAAGCGAAGCCAACCGATTTTGCCTGACCATGGTACTGGGATGGGACTGGGATGCCGTCTCCTCCTGCGAAGCAGTCATGCTAGCTAAGTAGGAGGCGGCCCGCGTGAGGGAACGAACCTCCTCACGCCCCAGCTGTCGCGAGAGACTCCGGGCGTCGCGGATCGCGAGACGATCTTCGGCCACCGTAAGCACGGGTGACTCTCCGTCCGACCAGAACCAGACCCGAGCGTACAGCGCGTCTTATGTCCACACGATTGATGAAGCCAGATATGTCGACTAAGGTCCGGCAACGTCGTACTATTTCAACCCAAAGTCGCTGGCGATACGTATCGCAGGATTTGTCCCCTAGAATATCCTTGGTTTAAGTAGTTAAACAGGATTTTACTACCATTCTCAGCTACATTAAATGATTATTGAAATGAATTGATCCACAGTAAATATTTTGTTCTTACAATAGGGATGATGACGGGGTATGAAAATGAAAAATCTATTTAGTCCGTAAGTTAGGTAATGAAAAAACTATTAGACACGTATTTTATTATTTTGTCGTATAATAAAACAATACTTGGATAAAACGAATCAAAGTTTAGGAGTGGGGGCTAAAACGTCATTTCTACGTATTAAATGTGCATAGAAGTGACGTCACGCGATATTTCAAATCAATATATTGCCACCTAGACAATGAAACATACGTGTCTAATGATTTCTACCAGACGGATATACGAATAAGAATTAGTCATCTGCCCTATTGCTAAGAACTGGGTTCAGTAGCCAGTGACTGTGTGAGTATGGTGGTTAGTGTCTCAAAATAATTGGTTTCATAAAGTTCGCGTTTACACATTTAGTCTTAAAAATGTAACAAATATGTTTTTAACCCAATATTTTAGTTTTGATCATTAGACTAGTAAAGTATCATGGATTATTTGTAACGTTGTAAGTACTATGAAGCAGTGTTTTAAATAAATAAATTTCTTTTTAAAATAAGGGTTTTTTATTTATAATAAACTAGCGACTCGCCCCAGCTTCGCACCTGTGCAATATGCATATATTATACATATCGAGGGAGCGACATTTTGGGCGATATATATCTCAAAAACTAGATAGACATCCTAGCTAAATAATTCTTGTATATAAACTACGTTTAAAAAAACCAACTTCAACCCCCTCTTTTTTGGAAGTCGATTAATTAATATTACTAAGTTATTCTGCTAAGTGTAAGTAGTGTAACAAACACTTAAATGATAACCGGATCAAAATCGGTTCACCCTATCGCATACATACATACGGGTCGAACTAAGAATCTCCTTTTTTTGAAGCCCGTATAAATAACATAATTTTCGTAGGTAGGTACCTCCTTGTACCTCTATACACAGTGCAGTACCTAGAAACATTTTTATGTGGTGCGACAAACAAAAATGGCGCCCCTTTAAGTAAAAAAAAATGTTTACCAGAAAAAGCAAAAGAACCAAATTATGTCATCCCCCCCTTTTAAGTCATCCAAAGACCTGGGTGAGGCTGGAGGGAGTGTCAGATTCTTATTGACTAAACGTCACCTTGTTCCTACTCCTGCATTTCGAACTGTAGCCCTGGCAACCCGTTAAGCATTCACTTCGTTGCGGGAACCAAGACAGTTACTCATGTCCCTGGGACGCGCCGGACTTCAGTGTTCCGGTGTTTTCATGGTTGTATCTACTGTAGATCCCGGCTTACAGGAGTTGCAGCGGTTTTGGGAGGTTGTGGCGGGCTTGTCCCAAAACATTAGCCCTGTTGGGCCCCATCCGTGGTGGTCTGATGGCTCTTTGAGACGCGCGCGGAATGCGACCAGTGCCATCTAGTCTTTGTCAAACGTGTAGTTTCTTACTCAACTCTTACCCGCGGGGAGAGACGGGGTGGTGATAAACAAATTTAACTCTACAAGTAGTTCGGATGCTTACCTCCAATAGCCAAACAGCTTCGTATTTCAGGATTTCCGCACAATTTCAGTTGCTTCACAAAATGCTGTATAATGTCGTGTGTTTGTTTGGCCAGTTCTCGGGACGGACATATTATTAGACCGTATGGTCCTTCGTTTCTGTAAATTATTATTAAAAATATGTTTAACTCGTCGAGTACCGTCATTATAGACACAATTATAGAACAATAGGTCGCGGTCACCGGTGACCGCTTGGTGTTTGACAGTTTAATAGAGTTGTAATAATAAAAACACTCCTATTATTGAATTAAAATATCCCTCTAAAGAGTTTACCATAATCCCCACACTTGGCAAACTTACTTGGGGATTTCAATTATATCAAAGAAAATTGGACTGCTGCTCATTTGCCGAATCTTGAGTGCGACTGCTGGTCAAGAGTCTCGGGTTCGATTCCCAGGAAGGGCAAAGTATTTTTGAGTTTAAAAAAAAATGTCAGTCTTAGCACGGAGTCTAGAATTGTGCCCGATATATGGCAATAGGCTCACCCCCTATTACATGGGACTCATAATATAAATAGTGAAAAGTAGGTGTTACATTGTATGTGATAACCTCTGCCTTCGAGGATAAGGGGCATGATGTCATGTTATCATAATCCCCATACTTGCAAAATCACTTGGGGATTATAGTTAAGTCATACAAAATTCCAAAAAATCCTTACTTGATGAACGGCATCTTGATCTCCTGTTCCAAACACATCATGATGATAGGTAGTGTGAACACTAGAGTTTTGCCAGACCCGGTGAATGCTATGCCTATCATGTCTCGACCGCTGAGCACTGCTGGGATGCCTTGCACTTGAATTGGTGTCGGTTTCTTTATACCTTTAGCTTCTAAACCTCGAAGGATTCCTGCGAAAAGAAAAAGTATAGGTATGTTAAATGTAATGTGTGGGAGAGCCATGCTTCGGCACGAATGGGCCGACTCGACCGGAGTGATACCACGGCCGAGCAGGAAACCGACGTGATGGCTCGTATCAGTGGCGTGCACAGGTTTTCTAGACAGGGTAGGCAATTAAATATCGTATGATTAAACCCCTCCCCCCCGGTCATACAATGACAATCATACTTACACAAGACAGGTACCTACATGTACAGAATACATTTTGAAAAGTGCGTTCAAGAATATTGTGGTTTATTCTGTCGCCAAATTACATACACTGACATCTCGCGTATTTTTTGTGAACTACTTCATCAGCTATGGAATAAGCCAACAAAACTTACAAATAATTGAACTGTCTGATGGCATCTTGAGGCGCGTGCGGAACGCGACGCGCCGTACGCTCGGGTCTGGTTCTGATCGGACGGCGAGTTACCTGTGCTCGCCGTCCGCAGGCCCGTGCTTACTGTGGCCGGATATCATCTCCGTACCATGGTCTGAACCAAAGCCGGACGCGAGAGGTCGCCGTTGCCGATCACATCCCTGAGGACACGCAGGTGCTCAGCCCACGCAGGACACACTGCTATCGTATGCTCCACCGTGTCCTCGGGGCGGTCCTCGCTGTGATGACACCCGGGCGTTTCTTCCCGCCCAATGCGAAACAAGAACCTACCGAAACTACAGAAACTTACCGAAACTAACAAGAACCTACCGAAACAATGCAATTCCTCTGCACACTCAAATGTACCTCTATTCTAAAAAAATCGAACGGCTTCCAATCCAAGCTTTACAAGAGCATCATTGTTGATGAGCCTTTTGGCACGCTTCTCGATGTGCTTTAGTGTTTCCAGCTGGGATTTAGCAAAATCATCTCAAATATGAGAGCAGTACTCCATATAGGAACTTTTGCAAAGGAAAACGGGCAAACATGTATGGGAAATGTACCTATCGACCAATAACGACAAGACGTATGTCGTTAGAAAGCTCTTCTCATGACTATCATTATGTTATTTTGGGGGCTAGTCTTAATTCGTTGTGGGCAAAACGTTATATGTTATCTATTAAACAAAGGAATGCGAACCAAATGTATGAAGTGAATGTATACCCGTCAATAGCATGTGATATACCGTTGGATAGGGCTGCTTAAATGGAACAATAGTTGCGAATACACCTCTGGTCAAATGTAAGTATCTTCGGAGGTACGACGTCCTAAAGTTATTTCAATCTGAGTACTGAAAGATTGATTATGTAGGTTCTTAACTCCGAAACCACCGACTTTTGACCTTAGTCGTACCTAATACGAAGTTTTATAAGAATATCTGCATAAGAATATCTATCCATAGAGAGAATATTAGAGGATTTTATTCCTATAACATTTTCCTTACAGTGAATTGAGACTATAATAATAGACCCGTAGACCCCCATAATAACAAATGATAGTCATGAAAAGAATATTCCAACGACATACGCCTGGTCGTTATTGGTCGGTACGCAGTCGCACATTCTGCCCGTCATCCTTTGCGCTTGGTATAGGTACGGCAATTACTTCAGCGTAAAGAACATTTTTTTTTTTTGATGACTGGGTTCTCCTTCAAAAGTTGCCTAGCTTTTTAGGGAGAAAGACTAAGAGAGTGGGATTTTAACCTCACTAAAACCACTCCGGTGGCCACCTACACGCACGAAGCGCTTCGCATCATGATAAATATTATCACCTGTAATTAGCATGCTTTGTGCTATTTATTTATTACTAGTGACCCGCCCCGGCTTCGCACGGGTGCAATATGCATGTATTATACATACAAACCTTCCTTAAGAATCACTCTATCTATTAAAAAACCGCATCAAAATCCGTTGCGTAGTTTTAAAGATCTAAGCATACATACGGACATACAGCGAAAGCGACTTTGTTTTATACTATGTATTGATTTCTATTTCTTCGGATTGGCGAGAGTCGTCGTAATATATCATAAAATCAATGAATGAAATAAATACGATTAAGTATATTTAAATATTTAATTGAGTAAAAAGTTTATTAAAATATTGATGACTGAAGAATATGCCCAATTCACTAAACAATTAGTGACTGAACAAATGATAGATGAAACACCCGCGGCCCATTCCGCGCTTCCTGCATTTTTGCGTGGTTTATCGTGCAGCTGGTGTGTGCTCGGTTAGGTGCCGTTGGTTCGTTTTGTTGCCCCCATGGCCCATCGTGTTGGCGCCCGGTACGGTCGCACCTTTCGCACCGCCCTAGGGTCGGCGCTGTACATATAGGTATGTTGCCTCACTTCGTTGCGGGAACCTAAACAGTTACTCATGTTCCTGAGACTTTGGACTTCAGTGTTCCAGTGTTTTCATGGTTGTATCTACTGTAAATCCTGGTGCACTGGAGTTGAAGCGGTTTTGGGAGGTTTTGGATGGTTTGTCCAGGGAAAGGGCGACAGTGTCCTTGGTTGAAAAAAATCTGGTGCTTCGGAATAATATGTCGTAATTTTGTTGCAATTGGTTAGTAGAAGTATTTATTTATTTTAACACTTTATGTACAAATGTGTATATGGCGGGCTTAATGCCGGATGGCATTCTCTACCAGCCAACCACAGGGTGATGCAGAGAAGTGTTATCTACAAGTAGGTTATAAACGAAGTTTGTATCTATTGAAAAATAACGAGGGTATCCCAGTACATAAACTACATACCAATACAACATACTAATATGTAGAAATAATAAGTTTTATTTTAATAAAAAAATATCGTTAGCTTCATTTTACACGAACAGTGAGTAAACGGGTCAAGACTACGATACTATTTATAGATTCCTAAAATGGAAATATGTAAATAAAACATACAAGTACTTAAAAATATAATTTATTTACATTACAAAATCATAACTTAATTATTAATTTGCCAAAACACATGAGCTGCTGTTTACATGTGAACATTAGTTCATGACGATACCTAAGTACGTGTGTCGCCTGGACAGTCACCGCTACCATCAGTTGACTGGACAATCTCTTTACACGAGCTGCTGTTTACATGTGAACATTAACTCATGACGATACCTAAGTACGTCTGTCGCCTGGACAGTCACCGCTACCATCAGTTGACTGGACAATCTCTTTACATGAGCTACTGTTTACATGTGAACATTAGCTCATGACATCTACAAGTAATTTTAAATTAACTCGTCGAGTACCGGTTTTGTAGACACAATTATAGAACAATAGGTTGCGGTCACCGGTGACCGCTTGGTGTTTGACAGTTTAATAGTCAGCGGCAGTATTATTGCTTTACAAAGGCGTGCGGTCCGTGTATAGTATATGTGAATGTATATTTATGTTAGCCGTTTTTTTACAAACTTTTATTTTATTATTGAATCTTAATAAACGCGTTTGTACATTTTATGTCAAGCAAAGCCTTTTTGCCTATATGGATAGCACGCCACTGGCTCGTATACAAAACTGCGATGCGACGTCGCATCCCAAAAATGTGCGAGCTCCCTCTACGCATCGCAACAACTTGCGAATTGATTCGCATCGCGCATCAAAGTCTTATCTTCCCAAAATCTTCTTTGTTTCTTTTTCATGTATCTCCTAAGCAATAACAGAAGTGCACACTGCTTTTTACGATCCATGTCACGACCTAGTTTTCAATTTAAAATACGTTTAGTACGGTTGACGGTCGTCGAAGGAATGGTCACCCTGAGAGACACCTTGTCGGCATCGCAGCAATTCGCACCGTAATTTTATGCTACGTGGATATTTTCGCAACGTGGGAATCGAACCTGCGATACTTTGATTTTAATGTGATGTTTATTTATGTGCTTTTTCTCCTTTTTCTGATATTGTAACTGTTTGATTCTTGTGCGTGTGTGTGTGTGTTAATGTAATTGGTGTTAAGCCGTGTTAACATAATAATAATAAATAAATAAATATGCACAACAGATGGTTACCCAGACACGGTGCTAAATAACAGAAACGTGAATTTTAAGAATTTTAAGTGTTATTAGAGAAAGGTGTGGATTGAAAGATGATGTAGTGACAAGGATTGAAAATAGAATGTTACGCTGGTTTGGACATGTAGAAAGGGTGGATGAAAGTAGAGTAACGAAGGAAGTATATAGAGCGGATATGAATGGGGCCGTCGGTAGAGGGCGCCCTAGACGGACATATAGTGACCAGATTGGCGATATATTAAAGAAGGGCCAAATTAAAAGTACCCTTAACCGACGTGCATGCATGAAAAGATTGATGACTGTTAATGAAGCGAAAGAGGTATGTAAGAATCGTAGTAATTAGCGTTCCTTAGTCTCTGCCTACCCCCATGGGAGACAGGCGTGAAGTTATGTATGTATGTATGTATGTGAATTTTAAGACAAGTTCTTTTAAAATTCCTATGCAATAGATTTTGTTTTAACTCAAGTAAATATCACAAGCTCCTATAAAACCGAAAATTACGGATACCCAATTGTTTGTTCCGCTTTCACGCCGTAACTACTAGACCGATTGCTTTGAAATTTTGCAGACATAAAGTAAGAAGTCCGAATTAATTAATAGGATACTTTTTATCCCGAAAAAAAATGAAATTCCCGAGGGAAAATAAAAATATTGGTATAGATGGCGCTGTATGTTAATAAAACAAGTCAACGTATTACCTACTAATTGGAAATCTCACGCTTTAATCTATAGCGCTACCTATACTTATTCGGTGCAATTTTCAACTCATTTATTTGCTGTTTTATAAGTCAACGTATTACTAATTGGATACCGACAAGGAGAAATACAGGAAGCCGACGGCCGACCTTCAACATTGAAGAGGCACTCTAAGAAGAAGAATTACTAATTGGTACCTATGTAGTAGTTACGCTACTAAGCGATAGATGGCGCATGGTCTTTTTAAAAACGTGGCCACGATGTATTTTTAAGTATTTTTCGGTTTTAAAATTTTGGTTCCTATGGTGATATTTTAACTGAAGGTAGATGATGGGATGGATAGTCACAAAGGCTACTTTTTATCATTTTATGACGCGTGGGAAGTCGCGGGTAAAAGCTAGTTTTCTATAAAACAGAAAAGGCGTACTTGTAAGCAGAAAAAGCCAGTTTATTACACAAACGTACCTTTAGGAAACTTCATATGCTGGAACGTTCTAATGGGAGGCGGTACATCGTCGCCCTCCACTAGTATCCTAAGCTGCCTCCGGACCCTCTCGTGTCGTTCCTCCGGTAACTCTAAGATACAGCGTGGCGGACGCCATGATGTCTTTATTGGTTCCTCGTATTGAATACCTGTGTAGATTTTAGAGTTACATAACACAACATAACATCACGCCTTTTATCCCCGAAAGGGTAAGCAGAGGTGCACATTATACCACTGTACAATGTAACACCCACATGTTATGAGTTCCATGCAATAGGGGGTGAGCCTATTGCCATATACCGGGCACATTTCCAGACTCCGTGCTACTACTGAGATTTTTAAGAACCCAGTAATACTTTTGCCCGACCCGGGAATCGAACCCGAGACCCCTTGCCGGTAGTCGCACTTGCGACCACTGGGCCAACGAGGCAGTCTTTATATATTGCTTGCTTGTTTGCTTTATACATCTGAAGATTTAACTGGACAGTTGAAGTCCAACTATAACTGCACAGGTTAAGGTGTTTGGCGTGCGTTACATACCTTTAGCCAACTCTGCAACTCCCATCAAAGCCTTGCTCTGTGCAACACTCTCCAATATATGTTCTTCCTCCCTCGCCTGCCGCTCTGCTGCAGACAGGGCCCTGGCCTCCGCTAGTCTCTTCAGTTCCGAGTGCTGGTCTAGCAGGGAGACGTTATAACGTCGACCCCATTCTTCTTGGGATGCTGTGAAGGAAAATTAGTATTATTATTAATTTTTATATCTATTATTTGCTATCCCGCGACTTTGGACGCGAAATCCCGTTTTTCCCCTTCCCGTTTGTGATTTTCGGTAAAAAGTAAAAAAAAATTATTAGATATAAAGTATCCTATGTCCGTCTCCTGATTCTAAGATATCTCCACACCAATTTTCATCCGAATCGTGTACGAGCGCCTGCTGAATATGCCCTAGCAACGACGTTCGCTTAGTATAATGTTAGCAATTAAATAGTTGTATTCATTTTGTATATTCTGAGTTTTTTTTAGTCTTTTCCTATGAAGCCCTGGCCATTGGCACAAATCGATTAAGCCATTTTTGAGTTATATATAAGCCATGGCTTGGCCAAGCAAAAATGGCTTAATCTATTTGTGCTAAAGAAGATTCTTATTTCTTATACACTTGATAGAGAAGGGAAAAGAAGGCAATTTGTGCTGAGCTTGGAAAAAGGAAGGGAGTAAGTATATTTGATCATCATTAACAGCCTATAAGTCACCACTGCTGACCAAAGGCCTCTTCTCGAACGGAGAAGATTTGAGCATTAATCACCATGCATACAGGCGATTTGAAACTTACAATTACAAATTATAAGCCTGATTTTTGTTTACTCATGATTTTGAGTTTACCGTGTTAAAATAATGTTAGTTTAGTTACTTGTCAACCTCTACACTCCAAGGTGTTTACTCTTGAAACCAATCTCAATATCAATGCAATTTCAATCTAATAAAATCTCAATAATTATTCAATGTCAATATTACACAACCACAATCGTAATATTACACAATTACAATAGCCTTCAGAGTACGGAATATAAAGTCAAACTCAATACCATTTAGTTCATTCAATATCCACGCAATTTGCATGCAATGTGTGCTAGAACTGAACTCAATAGAATGAATATGAATGATGACCAATTGGAATTGGATTCAAGAGTAAACCTTTGGGCATCCAACAGTGCAATCTATTCAACTGATCTTCTTCAAATATTGCAAGAAGAAGTACCTATAATGATAGTCATTGACCAAGGTTACTCAATTTGGTGTGTTGTGCCGTTTTGTCTTTTTTTAATGTTGCCCACACTAGGACTTTCTCCCGTGTCATGGGTGCGTTTACAAACATACAAGTTCACATACACATGACACCCAGACCCGGAACAACAATCTGTGGATCACACAAATAGTTGCACCGTGTGTGACGCGTTGCACGGCAGCTGGTTACCCAGCCACCGCACCAACCGTGCAATTTGGTGCAATAATCATTCTTAAGTTACACCAAGATCAAATATGTACATTTTTGTCATATTTATTTAGTTTGCACATTTACGAAGCAGATGTAATAGATAGACAGTCAATAGATATCAGTTTAGTCGACTATTGAGTGGTTCAGAGACAGAACATGGTAGGAGTCTTTATGGAGTCTTTACATAAACATGAATAACAATAACTCACTCTCATCATCAGGATCATTATCACTGGAGCTCTTAGGCTCTGCAGCAGCCTCTGCAGCGAGTTGTCCGATTCTTCCAAGCTTCAATAGCTGTTGTTTTTTACGCTCCTTCACGGGAACATAAGGTTCATAGTTATCCAGGTCTTCCTCAGATTCGGATGACTTTTCTTCACGTCTATACCTTTTAACCGGTGGCGGATCATCCTTTTTTTCTTCCTCCATTATCAGATTTTATTTGGAAATGTATTATTATGACTAAATTGTGTTTTGTGAAATTAACCACAAGGTTTTGTATTGTAAATAATACCCACAGATGATAAATTTTTGACGTGCGACGTTTGAGAAAATGTTTTTCGTTTTACGACAATTTTATGTTAGTGTTTTGGGATAGTTTATTGTTGATTTAAATTGTTCAACAGATTATATTCGTATATTGTGTACGTCTCCTAAAGTTAACAACAATTAGTAATATAAGTTTAAAATGTGAAAGTAAGCAGTATAGAATCGTGTTTCTGTAAACGTTTGGAAAGCGTTATATGTAGAATAACAATATCAGGATATTTAAGTTATTCATATTTTACATTACAAGAAAATCGGAGATAAATATTTTGAAAATTCCACACAAAATGCAACTTGAAGGAATGCACATTATTTACATTTTGCACATTTCCTGTCAAATTATCAAAGGACAGCAAGCAGCAAGGAAGGAACGTGTTGTCAATACTTTGTCATCTGTCAAGTTGTCAAAATATGCAAGTGACACGTAACTTTATGTAATTAAATTACCTATTTATGACCTCCAAATGTGTGAAAACGTGAAAATTTTCTCATCAACCGGTCAATAATATAGTTAACAACATGTCAGATAAAAGTTTCGGCGACTGCCCGAGCAGGAACATTGTTAAAAACCCGCTTTTGTCCACCGCCGTCACGGGACTCTCTATCGAAGACTTGACGCATAACGCAGTTTTAATTCCCGTTGCGGCTACCCAGGGACTGATCACGGGATCAGGTGAGTACTATTATTTATTTTTATCCCATGTGTACGCTACAAACACGTTTTTCGTGACGTTGAGCGTCGAAACAAGCCAAAATAACCGACATAGTTTTTCGCGATTCCAATGTCACAATTCGCGATTTCCACGCGAATTCTTGGCTGTTAAACGGTCTTCAGTACTTGTTATAGTGTTAAATGGTTCGCGAGTGTAATTTATTGGTGAATAAACTGTGTTAGTTACGTGTAAAAGTGTTTATTTGTGTTTTTATCAGAACCAGTGTTAGCAATGTCTTTCCTGTACAAGTCTTATAAAAACGCCCCTTTTGAATATGGGTTTACACCAGAATTAAGATTCTCCTTTCGTTCTAAATTTAAAAGGATGGAGAAGTACTTTTATGATGCGACCCTTGTGAGTAAATAAATATAACAACATTGTCTTTGGTTTTGCCCACCAAATAGGCTTGTTATCAAGCTAAATATTTATGGTTTGTTCGTATATTTTCCTGTTATTGTTTATTTTATACCTGGTTGTATACTGAGGGCATAACAGAGCTTATTTGTACCTATTTACATCAAAATTTCTTTTGAATATCTTAAATTATATTTTGCACCTGATTTCTATATCGTCTTTGTTTCGATTTAGATATGACAGAACAAGTTTTCTATTCTATTCCTTTTAGACAACATCTCATCCTTTTATAATAACTGATGATCAGGCCTGGGGGCAACATTACATAGCCACAATGTAGATTGATTCATAAAATAAAGTAAGTTGTCAGTGAATTAGGTAGGTAAAAGTAAGTCCTTATTAGATATACATACTAATCTCTTATAGATAAAATAACATCACGCCTTTTATCCGCGAAGTGGTAGGCAGAGGTGCACATTAAGGCACTTAATGCCACTGCACAATGTAACACTCACTTTTCACTATTTATGTTATGAGTCCCATGTAATAGGGGGTGAAACTATTGCCTTATACCGGACACAATTTCAAACTCCGTGCTACTACTGAGAATTTTTTTAAACCCAGTAGTATATAGCCCGACTCGGGAATCGAACCCGAGACCCCTTGCCCAGCAGTCGCACTTGCGAAACACTCGGCTAACGAGGAAGTCTCTTAAATATCCTTACTAATATTATAAATCGGAAAGTGAGTTTGTTTGTTTGTTCCGCTTTCACGCCGTAACTACTTAACCGATTACTTTGAATTTTTGCAGAAGTAAAGTTAGAAGTCTGGATTAAATAATAGGGTACTTTTTATCCCAGAAAAAATTTATATTCCCGATGGAAAACAAAAGTGATTAGTATAGATGGCGCTGTGTGTATTGGTATATGTCACATAGGCTACTTTTTATCTTTTTGTGACGCGAGCGAAGCAGCGGGTAAAAGCTAGTATATAATATTATTTATACTGTAGTATGCGTAAGTTTGTTGTCAAAATCCTTACTTAATTATTATTAACCCATTAAAGGTCAAATAAAAAGTACCAATATTTTTTATTAATTTTGTTTATTTTCGTAATCAACTGAGAGTATAAGAACAGTAAATGCGAGAAAAAAAATGGAAAATAGTATTTTTCATGATAATTTAGGTGTGTACTCAATTGGGTACACTGACCACCTAAGTATGAAAATTTTTAAAACACGATATTTCTACACAAAGGCTACAAGGCAGCACTTTTACACGTCAATTTTATCAAGCGAACGATGAGGTCGACATTTCCTAACTGACTACTCTAAGAAGCAAACTCAAAGCATCTATTTCAATTAAACCATAATTTGGTACTTTTGAAACGTCAACAAATACAAAATAAATAATAGTTTGTCAGTCTGTCCATCAGTGAAGCTAGGTGAAATGCCGAAACCAACTCAGAGGTCCGTTATTATTACATGGGACTCATAACATAAATAGTGAAAAGTGGGTGTTACATTGTACAGTGGCATTAAGTGCCGTAATGGCACCAATGCCTACCCCTTGGGGAATAAAAGGCGTGATGTTATGTTATGAAAGTTGAAGTCTAATTCAAAATCATTTATTTAAATTAGACTAGGGGGCTTACTCTTGAATCCAATTCCGATCGATCGACATTGGTATTGTGAAATTTCGTACTCTTGAGTTGCAACACTAGCGCCCATTGCATCCGTATTGCGTGGATATTGAATGAACTAAATGGTATTGAGTTTGTCTTTATATTCCGTACTCTGAATGCTATTGTAACAGCTACGATTGTGGTTGTATAGTTTTGACATTGAATAATTATTGAGATTTTATTTGATTGAAATTGCATTGACATTGAGATTGGTTTCAAGAGTAAGCACCTTGGAAAGCACTTAGAACGTCAACAAAAAAATAAAAGTGAAGCTATTTGCTCATTCCAAGGTGTAGATTCCTATGGAGAAGAACGAGTAAGAAATTCCCCTTTTCACGTCAAACAGCAAAACGGAGGTACTAATTAACGCGATTTTTTAACTGAAGTTAGTTGAAGGGATGGATAGTCACATAGGCTACTTTTTATCCTTTTGTGACGCGAGCGAAGCCGCGGGTAAAAGCTAGTAGGCTATAAAACATGGCGCTGTGACCAATAGGAGCCGAATAGCGGTTGAATATGCGCAGGAGTAGCTAGTATAAAATATATATACCTGTAATTCTATGTCCTAAACCGCCACAGTACGAACATCCCTGTCCGTCAGGCACCGGGACGTCTGGCTCGCCTATCATATCCAACAGGAATGATGGTACCTGTAAAACATTTTTTTTTAAACTTTCCTAATCCCCACAGTTGGCAGGTGGAGAATATTGTTTCATATGAAAGTCTGATGGTGTATATTGCTGAATAATGCAGCAGGATGAAGGTGTGCAATAATCCCCATGGTTGGTTAGTAACTTGGAGATCATAATTAAGTTTCGGACCACAGTTTTCGGTTTCACCAAGTCCGTTTAAACATATAAAACAAGAATTCGTCTGCGACACAATCCCCATACTTGGCAATAAACTTGGTGATTACGATTTTATGTCATTAAACAAAAGTATAGAGGTAAATATCTCCTTACCTTCTGCTGAGCTTCTCTCAACAGATGCGCTAAATCTCTCAACACGCTGTCGTCAGCCGCCCTGCCGAGTAACGTGGTAGCTACGCCTTCGCCACCGGCTCTGCCCGTACGTCCGATGCGATGGACGTAGTTCTCTATGTCCTCAGGCATATCGTAGTTAATAACGTGTTGTATGTTCGCGAAGTCAAGACCTGAGGGGCAAATAAATACATAATTTATTTATTAAAAAAGAACAAATATATCTTTTTTTGAGTGGGAATAATCATTCAATGTCTTCTCCCGCCTGGGTGAGACAAGAGGGAGTGTCATACTCTTACTGACTGAAAACCACCCCGTTCCTACTCCTGCACTTCGAGCCGGGGCCCCGACAACCCGTTAAGCCCACCACGGCTGGGATCATTGGGCCCTAGCTGCGGAGGGCTGAGTCTGATGGCTCCCTGTGTCGCGCGCTCCACGCTCGGATCTAGTTCTGGTCGGACGGCGAGTCACCAGTGCTCGCCGTCCGCAGGCCCGTGCACAAACATATCGCTGGTTTGCGAGAATATCGATCTAATTCAAAATATCTTATATCCTACCTTTGCTAGCCACGTCAGTAGCTACAAGAACATCTTTTTCTCCTCTTCTGAACGCTTCTACAGCTCGCGATCTTTCTTCTTGGTCTTTTCCACCGTGTATGGCAACTGCTTCCACTCCTGTAGAAAAAAGTCACGTTATTTTGATAAAAGCGACGACAGGCTACAAAGTCTGGAGCGTGACACAGTGAGCGCGGTGTGTAACACTCTTTTCGCGTTAACCTTGGATTCGAACCCAACACCGATGCAGCAGCCGGCGAGCGATCCTAGCGTGCGTAGATAGAGGAAATTGCGCGGGAATCCCGGCAGAGGGCGCGTTAGGCCCGTACCGCCGCAGTCGTCGCCTCGCGAGTCGCGGAATGCTGCTCATGAATATGAGCGTCTAGCATGCCTTGAAACTAGTCGACTTCGTCGTCAAACAGTTACGTGAGTTAACCGAAAACATAATAATTAATCACCACAGTTGACGAAGCCATTGGTGATTAATGAAATTTACCTTTTAGCAGTAGATACTCGTGGATAGCATCCACATCTTGCTTTCTCTCAGCAAATACCAGAACTGGTGGTGGTGTTTTCTGAAGACATTGAAGTAAGTGTACAGTTCTAGCTTCAGCTTTTACTGGTTCTAATTCTTGGCGCACGTTGAGTGATGCTGCACCAGCTCGGCCTACGT